TGAAAGTCTATGTTCAGTCTGAACAATATTTTTCTTCCGTCGTCACAGCGACATGCCACTGTCGAATTAGAAAAATGTTGAAAAATACCGAATAGGACACCACAGTCTACTGAAAAATGTGTTCCTTAATTGAAAATATATTGTGAACTCGCTGCAGTGCTGTGTTGCAGCATAGTCTGAATAAAGTTCCTTAGGTTTTCTATACGTGAAAAATTTTCCCATGGTCATAGGATATAACTGACGCAGTGCACATTCTCATGAGTCACACATAGAAGAGGTCTTTCTAAAATAGAAACTTATTCGGTAAAATCCTGTTGTGTATTAATTAAAAAGTTTCTTCTAGAAATTCAGCAATGTTTTCATCACTAAAGACAACACATATGCACGTCAAGGTTTGTTCTATGAAGTATTTCTTTTCGCAAAAAGATCAGTGACGGAGCACAATTTTTTCTTCTTTCCAGTGTTTAAGATGGCTGAGAAATCTGGAAAACTCACATAAAAAAAAAACGCCGAACAAAGTTTGTAATAGAAAATCAATGTTTCTGTTTAGTAAAACTGTAGAGGAAACATATTGTTCGTAGTCTACCATGTGTTATCCACACAGATAGGAAAAGAAATTCGAATACTAACAGCACTTAATATTTCACACATTTTTGCTACATTATCTATTATGGAAGACTTTAGACAAAAGTTCAAAAAGTAACAATAACTAATATTTTCAAAAAATTCGATTTTTCTTGATTCCAGCATCGTCAGCAAATCCTCTGTAAAAAAAAAAGTGAAAAAGCATTTGAATTCCGATAAATTATACTGTTTTCGAACGTAAACAACGAGGGCTATCCAACCACATTAACATCTCAAAATTGATCTTTTTTTGTCGAAAATCGCGATTTTTCACAGGATGAGCCTAACGCTGTTTCTTTTGCAGACAATCATACCCATTGATGTTAACTGGGAACCTATAACTATGCTAGCAGTACATTTCAGTGTGAACGAATTCTATGTAAAGCATTCAACTAACTCTAAATAAATTTGACAAAAAATTAATTTAATGTTCTAAAAATATGATATTTTTTGAGAGGATTAATAGAAGACCTTGGGTCTTCTAAAGCATCGAGAGCTTCACATTATAGATCAGATTTTTCAACAAAATATCAACAGTATTCAATGGTTTGCAGCGAAACATAGATCATCCATTTTCAAATTCTGTCATTTGGTTTCATTGGAGCGTGTTCAAGCACAGTTTTCTTCTCATGTGCATTTGCTGCCCTTTATCAAAAGTCCTTCTATATGTGTCAAAGCTATCACTTTGTATTAATGATTCTTGCTCTCTTTTAAACTATTACCTTGAAACAAGAGCAATACCATGAGAGTTCTACGGTTTCAGAAAACTGAAACTGTTAAATCATCGGATACATACAAAAATTCTTAAACCTATGTTGAGAAATCTTCATTTTTTCATTCTTGAGATAATAGTAAAATTTTCTCAATATCGATTTAAAACTTTCGTATCTATCTAACCATATAACGGTTTCAGTTCTACGTGATATTTTGGGAATCGAACCAGAACCATCAAACTCTAAATATCATAATTTTTAATAGTATGTATGTCGTGTTGTAAGTGAATAAAAAATTTCTATATTGAAATGAGTTCAACGAAAAGGTTTAGAACAAAACAACTGTAATTGTACGAATTGCATAGTTAGTTCGCATTATTTTAAATGTCTACGTTTCAATAAAATCTATATTTTTATACCGAAGTACATCTTAAAAAGCTAACGATGGATACGTGGAGTGATCGAAATTTGAAAATATATTTGTTGCTCTCTCCTTCTATTCGAGTTGTGATCTCCTCAGTGGTCATTGAATATCGATCTCTTAGAAATACTTTTTTATTCTTCATTCACTTTTTCAGTTCGCAGAGAAGAGATATATTTGAAAGATACTTTTGATTGTTCGCTTTTCGAATGATTTTCTACTTTTATTCAATGATGTTACTGAAGATATTTTTAATAGAAATATATGTACACATTTCTGATGAAAAGAGAATCATAATGAAATATAAGTTTATCTAAGACTAAAATTTTATTTTTAATTCATCTGATCTAGAACGGTTTCGTAATTGTAATTACGTACATTTGAATTTCTTATTATAGAAAAATATTCAATAAGAACCTAAGATTTGAAAAAAAAACTGAAGCAGTCGGAATATTGACCGCTCGAAACTGCGAACTCGAATTTTTCTTTACTGGCATCGAAAAATGATGGATACCGAGTGCACTGTCTGTTCAATGATGATATAAAAATCGAAGATTGTATACATAAAAAGAGAAAGACAAACGACAACAAAAAAAAATGTCATCAAGTAATCATGTTATCCAAACTGCGAAGCATCGATGAAAAGAGATCAAGCGTATATTCTTAGTTTCCAACTATGAAATGAAAAGGAAGAAAAAAGGATGTAGAAATTTGATCTTCTCAAAACAAAGAGAAAAGTCGTCGATATCAAATAGCTTCGGTACATTCTGACTATTCACATTTGGTGTTTACTGAAAAATTTTATGGCACTATCTTAGTTCAGTAAGCATCGTATATCAAAGATCAAATGTTCAGAAGATAAGTTTTATCGAAAAATTTACTTTCTGCATAATTCAATGCATCTAATCAGCAAAACATACATGCACAAGAATGTATTATTCTCTAATAATTTTTGATTATTTCTATAGGAAGTATTAAAATTATTTAAGATTCATTCTGCTTTACATTTAGCAAAAAACATTTTGTCGCCACTCATCTTTCGTAATATGTTGTTATTGGTTATAATATTTAGCAATTATATTTTGATCAGGACTATCAGTTGTGCAAGGTAAAGGCTTCGAACACACTACCGAGAAATAAAAGTGAATTAAGAAATGTGATTGGTCTTTTCGCGTAGTAACATCAATCATATTTCTTAAGTCTCGCAGCGTCATTAAAACATAAACACAAAATGACTCATATAGAAAATCATGAAGATATAGAAATGAAATTGTTAACTGGTCATAGTGATATTTATTCAGGTGTCACTGTTGATAAGAAACTTTTAGCTAAAACATCAACTCAATTTGAACGACAATTAGAACAATCATTAGAAGCATGGCGTCAAGAAAAACGTCGAGGAATATGGCTTTCAATAC